TTCATGAAAACAGCGTGCTCCCTAATAAGATTTTGGGATTTCTGGTCTGATCATGAAGTCCATTAACATTCTGAAAATAAGGAAATGAGGAGCCAAAAACTGAATTTGCACAATATATGCAATGAAACGGTAGAATTCTCTCTTGAATTGTGTGTATGCCTAAAATGTGGATAACTGGTCCATGATGATTGATTTGTATGTATATTACATTCAGATTTAAGTGATATTTTGTGAGAAGTTCTATTGATATATTAAATGGGCAAATCTAGAAAGATTCAAACTTTTAAATATTTTTGATTTACTAACTTTTCATTATTCTTAATGCTAAAACAAAACAAATTGATGCCACCTTGGACAAGTAGTCGTGTTTACTAATCCCTCTCTTCAGGTGCATCGCAGCAAGTTTTTAATTTTCATTTTGTAGACGTTTCCAAGGGAGTAAATAGACTTTTCATTTAGGAACTAATTCCTGTACTTTAGGAAGAAATAAAATATATAAATAGCACTAAAAATACCTCAAATTTTTCATTAGATAGAAACATTTATTGGCATTATTGACATCAACCAGCTTTAATTATAAACTTCCTTTTCTCTCCTGTGGCTTCTGCTCAGAACTGTTCATTGTTCTGTGGCTAACGAGACAAGGCATCATAACCATCTTCCTAGAGGCTTTATTTCTGAGGTAGAAATCCTTTATTTACAGCTTCTACAGAATGCATTCAGATCTTTTATTTTAACCAGAGATTCTAGTGACAACAGACAACTGAACAAGCAGATAGATTTGGGTTCCTTAGACCTGTTATTGTCAGTCTCTGAGGGAAGAGACTTTGACATTATCTGGTATGAAGAAATCCAAAATAGTGTATAAGACTGTTATTAGTCTTTTTTTGAAGTGCCTGATAACATTTATGGGCCAACGGATGTGATTGAACACATTTTAATGCCAGAAAGTACAGATGGGACCAAACCAGAACATGGAATTCAAATCGACTGAGGTTTGAAACCAGATCTAAATCCAGCTTTTTTTGGCTTGGACCTATCTCTACCCAAAACTTGTTTTATGAACTCACTGTAAAAGGGTTTATTGAAAGCATTGAGAGGTGGAGCAGGAGGAGAGATGTAATTTTTTTCAAGATGACTGAAAGTTCTCATACAGCTGATGATTTAGAAATAGTGCAAATATCAAGAAGTGCTTCCTTGCTACAATGCTGAATGTTGGAGCTTCAGTTACAAATAAATAAATAAAATAAAATAACAAAAAATATGAAAAAAAAAAAAAGAAACTAGAGGCAAGCAAGTAATTTAGCTGAGTTTGTGGAACACGTGGGAAGGCCTTCCGGATAATCGATTTACTCAGCCAAACATTTTATAGCAGAACTATTCCTTGGAATTTTTATGCTTGGGAAAGTAGTTGTTATACATTCCAAAAAGTGCTGGCACTTACAAAACAACAACAAAAAATAAAATCAACAAGGCAGTATAAAATATCGGTTTTGGGTGGCTATCTTCATACATAAGCATTGTCATGTTTTGGAATGTTCTTTATCTCTAAGGGCCTGTTAGAAGGTGTAAAGAATTTTGTTTTCTTCAATACCTAATCGTTTTCCATCTTATGATTTGTGTGTGTGTGTTGTACAGCAGTATAATTTTTCACTTATTTATTCCATCGGTAGTTATGGTTTGTACAATGTACAATGGTTTCATTTCAAAATAAAATAAAAAATCACAACATGAATGCTGTGTGAATAATTTTTATCAAGAAACCTAATCTGAGTTTGGTTCCTTTTGTTTTTTTATTTTTTTAATTTGCAATAAATTTCTGTTTTTATAAATGGTATTTTTAAATGTGCATTCTCTGGTGTTGTCTCGTTTGGTAACGTATAAAATTATCCACCTTTGAGAAGTCCAAAGGTGTCTTGATAATTGTGTGGTGGGGCAGGGGCAGGTGGTGGTTGTAAAAACAAAAAACAGATATGACCAGTGTAATTACAGCAATCTGCAGAATAATTTGGTAATTTAAGATAATTCATTTACCAAATTCCTCGTTGGGTGCTCGGTTAACGTCTTGTGGTACCTTAAATTGGAGGGGGTAGGGAAGGCAGAGTGTGAAACGTGCTTCAGTTTGGAAACAAGCTCGAGTCCAATGATTGCAAGGGTAAAACCTCCTGAAGAGTTTTGGAAAGATTCTTTACATTCAAGATGGATATAAAGTGTCCAGCTTATTTTTAGTGTTCGGTGTGCTCTGTCCCAAGGTGGCCTGCAGCCCCACAGGCAGCTGGACTGCTCTGCTGCCTCTGGCTCCCCGCGGGGCGAGCCCCAGCCTGCTCCCACCTTGGCTCTCTCACATTTACCGGGGTGCTCATCCTTAGCAGCCCCTTGAAACTCACTAACCTGGGAAGGAAACGCTTTGGTTTGGTTTTTTTTTTCCTTCTCCAGATTAGTGAATTAAACCAGGAGACACGTACCAAGGAGTTCCATACAGGGTGGAACTGGAGAGAGAGGCAAGGACAAGTAGGAGCAAGGCTGTAACTCAAGATGGGTCCCAGGAGGAAAGGCCTCTGAGCAGGTAAGGCTGGTGCCAGGGAGAGAGCAGTGGCAGCCTGGAGCAGGGCACGGCTGGAGGTTGTCCCTGTGGTTTCCTGGGAAGTTTTCCCTGTGGTTTCCTGGGAGCAGGATGGGCACGGCTGGGCTGGACTCCTGCACTCAGCCCCAGCCAGGCTGTGAGTAAGATCCCTTGAGCTCTTGCCCTCATCAGTATGGGAATGCTTATCTTCCTGTCTGTAGATTCGGGAGGATAATCTCACCACTAAGTGGTGTGGAATACACTGTGGGCTTTGAACGGCTCGGATGTCTCTGCTCACAGTGTGTATTACAGTCGAATTCCTCCTGTGCTAAAGGAATTGCTGGTGTTCCTTGAAGGAACATCATCAGAAGCTGGTGGCCTATGTTTCACCTTGAACTGTGGATTGATAAAAAACAGAAAGAAAAGGAATACTCAAAAGATGCTGTGGCCTCTGTTTCCCTGTGCCTCCTGGAGTTCCTTGCTGTGGAGCAGGAGAGGATCCCTGGCAGTCTTGAACTGTTACTGATCACCTAAATGCTCATCTTAAAAGGGCAAACCAAGAGGTCTGTCTCCAAAATTAAGTGGATTTATTTTAAATAAGGCCCCTTTCCTTGCATCTAGCAGAAAAAACCTGAAACTTGTGTTGTAGCTTAAACCTGCTGCCCTTTCTTTAAATGATGGTGTACTTTGAACTCTTCCTAGAAAATTGCACTGCAACCTAATGGTTTTATTTTAACAAGTTACCTGTCTTTTCCTGCAGGAGGAAACACTGGCTTGCTTAGAATTTAGCGAGGTCAGTGTACAGGCTGTTGTTATGGAAATACTTTATACAGTGATGCTAATGATGTGATTTTTTTAGCTCAGGATTAGTTCTTAACAAACTACATAGAAGATTTTAATAGGTATTGTTAAACAGTGAATGTTGTTGTGAAATGTTTTAAAATTTTTGTACTTAAAATATTCTCAGAATGTCTTGCTGGGACGCTTTTTTTTTTCTTAAGCAAATTTTAATATAAGATACCAATAACCAGGTTTAAAGCTAAATATGACTGGCCTTTTCTTCAGAATTTGAGTCAAGTATGATGCTGACTAAGAGCTGAATGCTAGGTTTGGTTTTTAAAGATCTGAGACAGCTCCCACATGATGTGGTCATTCCTTACTGTTGCCTCCATATGTGGGGAAGTGTTTGACCTACCACTCCTTCCCTAAACACAGGGATCAGCCTTGATTCCATGCTAATGGGCAATGTCAGATCCTTGCATGGGCGTAATTGGGATATTGCAGGGATGCCTCTTCTTGCCCAAGACTTGCTCTCAATCTCTGAAGTCTCTCTTGATCTTATTTCTGGTTTAACACACCAGAAAAAGTAGTATGTGGCTGTTGAATATTTGGAAGCTTTTTCCCTCCTGAGGATGGCTATGTAGAAGAGCCATTTTCATTTTAAGTGTGAGGTTCAATAACTGAAATAATATATGCAATTTAGTATAAATGCTTTGGAATGTGTGTCCCAGGATCTGACTGCTCCCCTGGTCATGGAGGCTTGCACTGCAGGGCAAGTTTGGGATCTTTTCTCTTGACTTTGTGTACACATAGTGTACACAATGTGTACATTGTGCTGTAGGATGATGCTTTTATGTTAACCTACAGGACCCATTGCTTCCTTTATGCTTTTGAGAAGGATGAAATCTGACCTTTACCTCCACTGGAACAACTGTGGTTCCTTTTATGTGCCACTGAGAAGGTACTGAGTTAGGTGTGAGCCACCAGCCTGGCAGCAGAAGCTCCATGTCCTGACCTCTCTGTGACTCTGCAAGGTCTCCAGCTTTGCTGGCTGCCCTGGCTTCTTGCAGACTGCTTCTGGAAAATAATAAGCAGTTTAGTGTATTAATGACAATTTAAGTATTTCTAGCACAATTGTTCTCTCAGCATTCTTCAGCCATTTCTGGGCTGTTCTCTACATCTCATATTCCTCATAGTCCCTTAAGTTTAGGAATGTTTTCCATAATCGTTAGGGCTGGAAGGGGAGATCACTCCCTGCCCAGGCAGGGTCACCTGGAGCAGGTGACACAGGAATCCGTCCAGGTGTGTTTGTAATATCTCCGGAGAGGGACAATCCATGGCCTCCCTGGGCAGTTCCAGAGCTCTGCCACCCTCAACCTAAAGGATCTGTTCCTCGTGTTGAGGTGGAACATTTCGAAATTTAGTTCGGTTTAAAAAAAAATAAATAAAAAATTGTTCTGCTGGGTGGAAGTCCCCGCTGAATCACTTAAACCAGCCACCCTCAGGAGGTGTGGGGACGTTGCTGGCACAGAGCGGGCAGGGCGGCGGCGGGGCCGCTCCGTCGCCTTTAAGCGCGGCGAGGGCCGGCGCGGGGCGGAGCGGGGCGGTGGCGGCGCAGAGCGGGCGCGGGCTCGGCCGCGGCGGCAGCAGCGGGGCCATGGCCGCCGACGTGTTCATGCGGCCGGCGCGGCTGCTCGGGGCGGCGGGGCCGCTGTCCCCCCGCACGGAGCCCGACGAGGACTCGTCGGACACGGACGATGGCGGAGCGTCGCCGGGCGGGGGGCGGCGGTGCGGGCCGCGGCGGGGGCAGCCCCCGGGCCCGCAGATCATCCACTCGGGGCACTTCATGGTCTCGTCGCCGCACAGCGAGCACCCGCCCAAGAAGGGCTACGACTTCGACACGGTCAACGAGCAGACCTGCCAGACCTACCAGTTCGGGGCGGCCCGCGGCGGCGGCGGCGCCGGCGGCCGCCTCAGCATCGACGCGTCCCTCACGAAGCTGTTCGAGTGCATGTCCCTGGCCTACAGGTACCGAGCGGCCCCGGCGGCGAGTCCCGGCCGCGGGGACAGCCCCGGCCGGGCTGGGCGGGGGAACCGCGCCGGGGAGCGGGACCGTGTGCGGGGCGGGGTCGCAGCCGAGCAGGGACCCTCCGGCCCATACGCTGGGGTTCGGTGCCGCTTTTGTGTTCAGCGAACTTGGGGGTCCCGGCGGGCCCTTCCCCGCAGGCCCGGGGCCGTGGCTGGGGGCGAGCCGGGGGTGCCGCTGCCCCCCCCGCCATGAGGGCTGAGGGCTGGGGTCCCGCTCGCCCCGCCGGCTGCTGGTGCCGCTGGAAGCCCTCAGCATCCCGCGGCCAGGCTGGGAGCGAGTGGAAGCCTCTGGTGCTAAACAGAAACCCTTAAAGGGCAAAGTGCCCCGCTCGATGTGAAACCCAGCCAATTTTCCCCTCCCCAAATTTTATTTTTATAACAAAGTCAAGCAAGCGGGCTCCGTCGCTGTTTCCTTTGTTCCTGTGCTGGCTGCAGCTGGCAGCAGCACTTCCTGGGTTTATCTGCACCTATTGCTGTGACTTTGGTTGTGCTTTTCATCTCTTCAGTAAGGCGTTATATTCCCATTTATCCCCTTTGTCTGTCATCCAAAATGGAGGCAGAGCTGTGGAGTAGAAGTGTTTTGGAAAGATGTGTGTCTGCTCAGTCTTTTGTTCCGTGTGATACAGCAGAAACCGGATCCAATCTGATGTTCTCTGCTGAGCGCATTTTGGAAGTTGATTAAAAGGGTTGATGGAAAATGCCTCTTGGCATATCAACGGAAATATTTTTTTTTTCATCTATAGGAACCACCTTAGCTTGCTAAAAGAAAATTAACTTTGCCCACCCCAAATTAATCTATTTAAGTATTGCTCAATGAAGAGGAAACAATAGAACTATCTGTTCTGTACAGTAGCTTGAAGATGTAAGTAATATTAAAATTTTGATAATATTGGCCAAGAACGTTATTAACTACTGGCAAGAGCCTGAACGTCAGATAAGGTGTGTGCAACAGTGGATCTAAGTATTTTGCACTTACAAAAAAAAAAAAAAAAGCCTTTTATTGTACAAGCTGGGAGGAACTCGCAAAGGAGCTGCAGGGATTATGAAGGACAGAACTGGACTGCTCATGTGCATGTGCTCCTCGGCCTCTATCACCTTGGTTTTATTTTGTGCTTCCACTGGTATGTCGTTGGGATTTTGAAACTGAGGATCACATCTGGTGCAAAGGAATAATTCTGTTACACTGATTGACAGTACTGAGCTCTGATGTAGGTGAATTAGTTGAGCACCAAATTTATTACAGAAGAAATAATTTTATCCTGCCTGCTGGTGGTAGCATGAGGCAAGGTGCAGAAAATATCCTCTTAGAGGCTGCCAAAGAAAAGCACATTCTTAATGCTTCTGTCCTTGGGCACCTTAGGGTTTGCTGAGTTGCAGCCCTGAAGCATCCTGCCCAGATCCAGCCTGCTTACTCAGCAGCTTTGGGATACAATTTTTAAATCTGCCGAACAAACCAATTGTAAACTTGGGTCTAAAAAGGATTTAAGTAATTCTGGAAAATCTGATTTGAGGTGTTGAACATGGCTGTGAAGTGGGAAATGTCTTTTTAGGAAATGATTGAGCCTGTAGGTTGTATTTCTCTCTGTCCTCAGGCTGGATTTTTTCTTGGTTGGTTTGTGGGGATGTTTTTGTGGCTGTTGCCTCAGCCGTACCTTTCTCGTTATTGCCTGTCAGATCCAGCACTGACAAAACACACAGATTCCATGTTAATGTTTTCTATGCTGCCTTTGCTGGCTAGAAATTCACTCTAGAAAAGAACTGGGGCTGTGGAAACCAACAGCAAAAACTGTAACACAGGAAGATGAAGATGTGTGAGTTTTGCTTTTTAGGGGCATGAGCTGCCTGCAGGGCTGGGGGATGCAGCAGTGACAAACACAAACCCAAGGAAGCTGCTGTAACAGAGCTCTCTGTGTAATATTTATTTACACAGGACACTCATTGCTGGTATTTCAGTGTTTAAAGTTTTAGAGAGGAGCAGTAAAACGTGTGGTACCCATTAGCTTGGTGGATGGACTAGAAAGCAAAGCTTTTCTAGATTACCTCAGTCATTACCTGGGTCATTACCTCGGGTGGTTTGTTTGGAAGTGACCAAATTTATGCTGGATCACGGATTTGTGATCCATAGCCCATAAACCTGGCCTCTTCTAGTTGTGCTGAAAATTTTTTTTGGGTTTGGCTTTGTGCTGTTCACAGTCAAACTTTTTATGATAAAAAAAGTTATTTCTGAGCAGCGGGGAAGCGATTCCCTTGTGCCTTTGAGCAGTACAAACCAACATGATCCTAATTTTCATCACAGCTGTTTCAGTCACATATCCAGTCGCACAGCTTGAAAAGTCTCATTTCAGATATGCCATTCCAGAGGGGAAAACATGCCTATAGCATACTCCCCTGTACAGTGAGCAGATTAAACCAATTTTTTAAATTAATAAGTAACTTATAAACACTGGGGTTTACAACAGGTGTCACGAGGGCTGTACGTTATCTAAATGTAACCTGTTTTTCTCATGAGATTGATTGTGGGAGCTGTACCACACTGACAGAGGTAAAAGAACATTGCTTTTCCCCTTTTAGCCCCTTCATCTCAGCTCTTTAAACCAGTGTGACCTTGCAGACCTTGACGTGTAGGTAGCTAGAATTGACTTGTTGCAGGCAGGCAAAAAGATCTTAAAAAATGTTCTTCTCAAAAAGAGAAAGGCCTTTGACACTGCTCATTCTAATGAGAAACTGTGCTCCTGGGTACATGACCTACAATACTCAGAATTAAGTAAAATGTTATGTCATCTTGATATTGAATTTAGTAAAGCCCTCTAATAACTTTACCATTATCCAAATAATTACATTACCCAGAAATAACTTCCCAAAGCCTCACTGTATTCAGAAATGTTTCAACAACAGCCTATCATGAAGGTTTTTTTCCCTGAGATTGGGACAGAAGAATTTTTTTCTCTTTGTTGGGATTAATGATAATACGCTGGCTGGTGCTCCTTTTAAACTATTGTATATTTTTATGTCAGTCACTGCTTATCTTAGTACAGGCCATGGCAGGGTAGATGAAGATGACTTTGTGGGCTCATTTATTCTTAAGTGGCCTCAGTGTTCTCTCACCTCTTATTAAGAGCTTAAGGAACATGCCAGGTGTTGTACTTGAGGTAAGAGTGTTAAGGTTGGCATGAGATCCTTGTCCAAAGCCCTCTGGATCTGCTTGCTGAAGCTGCACGGGGCAGGAGAGTGGGAACTGGGACAAAAGCTGCCTTGTGAGCAGCTTGCCAGGTCATTTCTAGATTTCATCTCTCCTCTTTAGCAATATGACTCCTTCACTTCATGTACATGGAAGCCAAAAATATTCCCTTCCTCAGTGGACTGACGTGAGGGGTCAGCTTGTTTCCAGAGCGCCTTTGCCCCACATTCTTTGTCAGTGCAGTGTTTGGGGAAGTTCTCAGCCCTGCTGATAGCACTTGGAGATTAAAAACCTCCACAGTTCAGCTACATATTTCACATGCTGCTTGTAGAAGCTGCTCTGATAAAAGCACCTGTATTCGCCTCTGAATTTAACCAAACTTGAGCAGAGTTGCTGTTCCAGGTATTTTTTTAACCACAGCAAGGGTCCCTGCAAAGCAAGGATGGTGTATTCAGGGTGCAGTATGAATCAGGACACCAGTACTGAGCCTCTTACTCTGCTTATGTCAAATGCTTGATATAGTCACAAGCTTTTAAGCTCTGTGTAAGGTGCACTTTGAAATTCCACCTTGACAACCTTGAACCTCAGGACGGTTTGCAGAAAGGTGGCTGAGCTCTTCTTGTCTCCGGGATGCATTTCTTTGCCAAAATAAACATTTAGTAGTGCTAGTGTGAGAAGGCCTTGGTTCAGATTAAGGTTTTGCTGTCTTCAGGGCTACAAATGACTACAGGAGGAGCAGTCAAATTCTGTGGACAGAGGTTTAAATACAGGGACAATTTTGGTTATTTTGGTGTCTCTGCAGACTGGTTTCTATGCACCTGGTTGGGCAGGGTGTTGCTATAGAGGTGTGGGGCACAGGAGTCACCTTTTTCATTAAAAAAGCACATTGTTATCATCTTTTGATCTGCCATTTAATCTACATGTTTTGTTGTTGTTCTCATCTTGTGTTTTTACTCAGTAAACAGATGTTATTTTCTGGCTTAAATGCAACATGGATTTTGCAATCATCATTTTTGATGGATTGCTGAAATAGGGAAGAGGGAGCTAGTTTGTCCTCAGACTGCAAGTTCTCAATAACTTTTGCATGATCTGAAAAAAACGTGGCTGAACTTTGAGATTTGGCATTATTCTAGTGAAGATTTTGTGCTGCATGATTATGATGTGCTTTGAATGGCAACAGAAATTAATATGTTGATTTTCAGTTCTCCCTCCCCTTACCTGTTTTTATTCCTTTCTGCTGAGTGGCAAGAGGAATTAAAGCCAAGAGACCCAAATTTCAGGTCTTGGCTTTACTCATGTTTTTCCACACACCCCTTTAGTAGGTCACTGAACCATTCTTGTTTGTTACTTTCCCATGTGGGGGGAAAAATTTCCATTCTTTTGGAAAGCAGAGTTGATATTCAGTCACTTGAGCAGCTGCTTATCTGACTGTGTGTCCTTAAGCTATGATTAGTCTTAATCAAACAAAAGGGTATCTAGTGATGCTGCAAGCTGGGAAGGGGTGGGGAGGAATAAAGGGAGCTTTGTAGCCATGTTGAGCTGAAGGCTGGGCATTTCTGGGATGTCAGGGGCATTTTGACAGGCTTGAAGGAGAGAGTGAACTCTTGAAGTTGCAATGGGTGGGTGGGATTTTTCCTCTAATGACAGCACTCAGAGATTTGCTGTAAAAAGCAGGAGGAGTTGAAAGGGCAAGGAATGAGGCTGGAAGCTCACTGAGATCTGGAGTGAAATTAAGAGGATCTTTGAGGAATGCATTGAGTGA